TTTGAAGAAAATGACATGTCACACCTAAGAAACCTCGCTCGTTCATTGTTTCAGTCCAAATGTCCAATCTGAGACAAATATTGTTAATCCTTGACAAAATTTAGCTTTAGCTATAGGTACACAAGCTTCATATTTTTTGTTGGTCATCTTCTTTAAATAAGCTGCACTAAATAGGTACCTACCTTAAAATTAGGCAAATTGAAGCACTTTCAGAAGGCGTAAACATCCTTCTCTTTCCACAATGTAGGAAGGCAATAATTGTAAACAAAAAACGCTAAAGCCTGCACTATTTTGTTGACTTTTAAACCTCCCTCCAAAATAGACATACCTATTATATCCAATAAAGAAAAAGTGCCAGAAATAATTTATTTTCCTTATTGGCCGAAACTTGTAAAAATGCGTCTTCTAAAGTCCTTTGTGGAATTGTGTTACTATCCGTACTAGCATCAAAAAAACTTTTTGATTCCAACAGGTTTTCTAATTTAGAACCGCTAGATGTTGATGGCTGTGCGATATCCAACTCAAGTTCTTCAATAGACTTCACAAAATATCCTATATCTTCATAAATATATGTTCTGTGACTTTGGGCAGTGTTTACACTTTTGATAATTCGATTCGATACGAGTACTTTATTTCGATACCAAGTATTGGTATCGAAAGAACGATTCAATTACCAAAGTACTCGGTATCGAAAAAAACTATCGAATACCTACTTGTATTTACTTGTATCGAATCATCCCTAGTACGCGGTGCACATCAAGTCGCCTTTTCCTTTCTGAACTGTTTGAAAAAACAACTGAAAAGTAACCCATGCACCTGCAGCGTGATTGATGATGCCTCGTTTTTGATTTACCTATACAGGGTGTTCGGCAATGGTGCGACCAACACTACACGAGGTAGTTCTAGCACAGCTTATATCATCATTTGCTGGACAACATCCTGTAACACTGTTTCTAAAACTCAATAATAACTGATCTACATACCTACAGTGCGTTAAAGTTAGGTTTTAAAAATTATTTTTTAGGAATAGCTGCTTTGTTGCTGATCTAAATGATTAAAATTTAGCACACTTAGATATTAGGTATCTATGATCATTTGTATTACTGTTCAAAAGTTGACATTTATCCGTTAATTCTAATGGGTTGAAMTCCCCAAGTCATCTATCTACCTAACAGCCTAARSTTTTTTAATTTCCTCTTCCTGTTGTGTACCTACCTACGGTTCCAAAAAAGAAAAGAGCTCTCAAAACTGAAAMTTTCGAGAAAATCTGCTTTTAAATATATTTTGCAGGGTGTAAGTATGTACCTATGTAGGTACCCTACAGGGTTATTGATTGAACTTTGACCACCCRGTTTTTGCATCTAATTTGAAATTTGGAGAAAAATGTTAAATACAAAATGTAGTTGTAGATATCACCGTCTAGTTTATTTTAAGATGGYACCTACCATTGATACAGGRTGTTTTAAAACACCATTAATACAGGGTGGTTCTTTTAAATGCAATGCCTTACTTTTTATTGCATAGTCGAGCACATTTGTTATGTTGATAGTGTTTATAGGCTCCATTATTCCTCTATCGACTTATGTCATCGCCAGCTCATTCGAAATTTTTTTTGCATAAAAACATGGACGAGTTGAAAATTCTCGAACATATTTTCGATTTATTGGTCTGGCTAAAATCGGAAACTTATAGTCCATTCATCATTATTTTCTGAGACATGGAGTTAAACGGGGTTTTTTTTCTTCCAGTTTACCGAATCGATTTGACATGGAGTTGATTCGTTTTGGTCTCAATACTAATTGGCGTGAATTTCAATCAATCCTAACGCCCTTCGACAATTTTATTCAATTTTGAAACTTTTCCTTCCATAAGGGCCCGTACAAACTTTTTGGTCTTCCTCCTGTAACTTCCAGGGGATTTTTTTTCAACCAACCAAAGGTGATTTGTCATGTAACTTCCATATCTAACCACGTGGCAAGGAATAGTTCGAACAAAAAAATAAAAAAATTATCGC